AACCCACTACTACAGTGCTCAACTGTATTCGTTTCTCTCTTCTTCTAATGTCTTTTCTTCCGTGCTGCACTCTTTTTGAGGCGCTCCTTGCAATATTTCTGCTTCCTTCAAACACCCTTCCTGAGCTACTTCTTGTACTATTTCCTTCTGCACGCCTTCTGTGCTGATTCTCCTTCCCTCTCTTGAGAGTTTAGTGCCGTCTATTACGTGCACCCTGGGAACTTCCTATCAAAAATATAAAGAACGTACGTCCGGTTCTCACTATGATCATCTCGTAATATACAACTCACGGACTTCTAATCCTATAAATGGCGAACACTTTACCAGGCCTTCTCACGCACTAGGGTCTATTCCTTCCATACTCGCCTTGCTGTACATACAAATAATATTACGAAACGAAATTTCGAAACACATGCACACACCATCTAAATATTCTGACACAGCAGTCTGACGTCGTTATGGTAGTCGTACTCATTATCTGTGTATATTATAGAATTATTGAATGATAAGTAGAAAAATATGTAAATGCATATGCATACAAATTCACTCTGTCTTCCTCAATCAGTTCTCAGTCTACATACTGGTAAATACACACCCCAGTTATGCTTTCTAATGTAAAATGATGTAATATTCTCTAATAATTCTACGATATGTTATATTTCATGTCCTAATAAATGACTATACTGTTAATACACAGTATATTCAATCCCTATCGTCTATTGGACAATTCGGCCCACATGGACAAAAAACAAGACAATGCGACCCAACTTGCAAGATAATTCTGCCCAACTCGAAAGGCAATTAGGGCCCAACATAATAATACAACTGACAATAGTCTTAGCATGTATGTATGTATGTATGTATGTATGTATGTATGTATGTATGTATGTATGTATGTATGTATGTATGTATGTATGTATGTATGTATGTATGTATGTATGTATGTATGTATGTATGTATGTATGTATGTACGTACGCACGCACGTACGTACGTACGTACGTACGTACGTACGTATGTATGTATGTATGTATGTATGTATGTATGTATGTATGTATGTATGTATGTATGTATGTATGTATGTATGTATGTATGTATGTATGTATGTATGTATGTATGTATGCATGCATGTGCACTCAAGCTGGTGACTTTTGTGTATACGAGCTCAGATGTAGTTTGCTTTTTTCACTTTATCCCTCTAACAATTATTGTACTTCTCACATGAGAGACTCTCACACACGGACGGACGTACACATATCTTTGCATGCGTGTGTATGTAGACTAAGTTAGCAGCTTACAAGGGAAAAATAATGTGTATCATAGTTAATACTAGCAATTAGTTTATTCATTTCTAATTTGCAACTAAACACTGACAAAATGCTCAGCATTATTCTCTCTCTTTCTCTCTCTCTCTCTCTCACACACACACACACACACACACACACACACACACATACACACAACACACGCACACTCAACCGCTTGTTAAATCCACGTGAAAGGCAAATTTTTGTCATTCTTTTCCTTTGCTTGATTCGACACTGTAAATATTGGAAGCAGGCGACATATGTATGTACATATTTAGTCGCGCATGCTCCCCTTTGATGAAAATGGACTGGTCCAGAAACTGGAAATGGTTATCAAGCATGTCAGTCTATTACACTGAAAACTTCCGTTAAGCATGAAACGCGCAGGCGATGACGGTGTTATGGCAATTCTTCTCACATTCAGGTTAGAAAATATAAATCAATGAATGAATTGACTATGTTCCTTGCACTTTTTATCCAATTAAATGTTTCCGTTATTGAAATCGGTACGGGGATACAAAACAACGGGGATATATTTTCGGACTATACAAGTGACTTGACTGATGGTTCTCTGGGTAAAAGTCAAAGTAAAGCCTGGATCACCTAATAATGAAATATTATTTAAAATGATTTTAATATAGAGTACAAATATATAGCGAACAGAGAACATGTAAAATATGAACGAATTTTTTTTCTTCATAGTTTGCAGAGTGAAGACATGGTAAAGTTACTCCCGTTTTTATCTATAGCGAATATTATCAAAAGTGGGGAGCAAAATAATAAACTACATTCTTGTAATCTTTCTTATTGATGCCGGACATCACGATGAACCCTTGCGGTACTCGTTTCATATGTTCTCTGGACTTCAAGAAACTGTGGACCGTTAGTAACTGATAAAAGGTTTTATCACGATCTTGAAGGTACCATCGATGTACCATGTTTTAGCCTTGCTCAGGAGTTCTGACTGGTAATCAGTAGCAATATTAAGTGGCGTTTATCTTTCCAGAGTACATCCTGTCTGAAGAAGGGCTATGTAATTGCATTCCACAAGTAGTCTTCCTCCAGCTGAAAATTGAAAATAAACAACACCTTTTTAGGAACACATATTTGATGCGAATCAAACGTAAGGTAGAAATAATTTATTCAGTATAAAATTCCGACTGTATTTTTCATGTAATATTCGATAGAGCAAAATAACGAGTTATGTATAAAAAAAGGGGGGTACATCAAATGACAAGTCTGATGAATCCGTATGTCTTTCTCCTCTATATTTGTTACAGTTTCAAATCATGTCGTAGGTGGGTCTTGATGCTTCCGGTTGTTCAACATCTATGTGCTCATGAAGGACTCAGTATTCTACAATATTCTGGTCAGGATCAAACAAATCATTTTCAGATTTTACTCTCAGCTGAAAAAAAAAGAATTCCATATATTTATGCAACATTATAAGTTTGTCTTGAATTCAACTCAATATACATAATTACAATTATGATTATGTTATTCATAACAAAAGTCACAATAAAGTCAGTCCCAAAATTGAATTGTAGTATACTATACTCTGTATATGAAGAAATTTTGTTTATTTTATATTTCAAGCGGAGACATAATGCTTCTACTATGTTGTACTACTGTTTTCATTTGAAACTATTAATAAAAATTTAAGTAACAAAATGTTAAAGTTATTCTCACCTGTGCCACATGTCCTGTGTTGACATCGATGGCAGTTTGTTGACTAGTCGTCACCACCTTAGTGCACTGAATACATGGATATTGCATTGTTGGAATATACATGAACGTTTTGTCAGTCAGCAGTAAACTCAGTACAAGACATTACAGAACGTTTTGTCAGTTAGCAGTAGACTTAAAAATTTGAAGTCTTTTGAATTTAATTTGTGTTCCTTGACCACGTTTGCATTCACTTGATGAAGAAGATGGTATGTCAACAGAGAAAGTACACGATTTGATGATGATACTTCTTCTTGGGATGCCGATTTCGTTGACTTTTTGCGAATAATGTATTTCTCGCAATTAGTTGGGAAGGATTCTGCGGACCAGGAAGAAAGAACAGAATCAACCCATTGTATGGATGAAATCTAACAGTCACGAAATGGAACAGATACGGACTTTGAATTAAAGCAATGGAAGATAAGTTGAAGGATATAATCAATGCACTGTTTGGTGATATGTTACTTGTGATATAGAGTCCGATGACGTACTGCGATTGATGTATTTCTCGCAGTTACTTTAGATGGAGTTTACGGGCCAGGGAGAAAGGACAGAGTCAAAATTTGTATGATTTTATGTCTGACTTATTCACGAAATGGCTTTAATCGATTCAGCAATTCTAATACACCCTTATATTATTTAACTAGAACTACAATATATGATATTTAAACTAATTAAACTAATTAAACCTTAAAAAATTATTTATTTACGATAAAATTTGCCAGATTAGAATTAACAACATTATTCATGTATTGGACAAGAGACTCGTGGCATCTGCGCTAGTGTTCACGTGATCACGAAAGCGTAATGTGTATGCTGCTTGTGCCCAATTAAGATCCCAAAACTAAACCCATGCGCAAAGCATAAAACGTTATATTTATTCATTTGTTAAAAATATTTTAATAATTTTAAAAAATAATTAAACTATTTACTTAATTAACCTCTACTACCAAATTTGGAATTGACTTAATTCGAATAGTAACATTAAAAATTAAAATGAAATCTTCTTACTTAATAAACTATAGAATTGTGCAATATTTATAATTATAAATTAACAACTCCAAGAATTTTATACTTACAAGATAAATTATTCTGAATGGTGTACAAACCCTAATTCAAAAATTTAATAAAATCGAAATTCAATAAACAAAAGACAGACCCAGTGTAACATTATAAATCGACAACACTATAACTCATAAATAATAAATGTGCATTCGGTTGGTTCTATGTGTATAAACACACATTACTCAAAAAACGAATTCGATTGAGTGAACCTCCACTACGCTTAGTGGGGACTTAAACCCCTCTCCTATGTCCTCGTCCACCGGCTTGAGATTATATATATATATATATATATATATATATATATATATATATATATATATATATATATATATATATATATAGATAGATAGATAGATAGATAGATAGATAGATAGATAGATAGATAGATAGATAGATAGATAGATAGATATATAGATATATATATAGATATATATACACATATAATGTATATTAAAAAGACATGAAGCCAAAATAATTACATAAAACATCCGATATCGTAGATAAAACCAAACTAGTAATTGTTTACTGTCTTAAGTCCTCGAATTATGGGCTATCAGTAATTTGTCAGCCATGCTGTAAATTTGTTTGGTGCATTCAATTCGACAAGATAATAAAAATGGCTTCAATTCCTTCTAATGAAAACAACAAGGCCTTTTTCAAATAAACATAACTTGATCCTGTATTAGACACTTAATGCTTGTAGTAAACATCCTCTGATGTTTTGATTATATGCTCCTAAAATAAATAACAGAAAAGAGTGAAGACAACAAGCTTTGTAAAATTTAGCATGATGTCTTACCCAGTCACATTATCCTGACACTAGGCCTACAAGTCTTATCACTAACCTCTTAATGCTGAGCTCCAAGCGAGGTAGATGCTTACATCATTAATATAAGTATTTCGTATGACTCGGCTGGGATTCGAACCCGCGATCTCCCGCATCCGAGGCGGATGCTCTAACCACTGGTCCATTGGAGCGGTCGATCCAATGTATAGCCACTTTACTGAAAAATAATTTTCCTCAGTATGCCGTTCCAGTTTTTAGTCACTTTAATGAAAACTCATTTACATAACGATACTACTCTATGTTCACAAACAAAGTTACAGAAAGAATAAAAAACCAACAAGTTCTTGTGAAACGTAACAAATTATTGAATTATCAAAAAAATAAAGTGATAATGTATGAGAAACTTACGATATTATGAATGGAATCCAAAATAATCCTAAAATGTTAAATTCAAGTCCAAAAGAATTTAATTTTCCGAATGAATTTCAGATTATCGAATGTACTTGGGCATTGTCCAGAATTCTTTTGAATAATTTACAATAATCCCAGATTAATATTCTTGTTGAATTATAAATTTGAAATTCCATTGAATAATCATAGCAAATGTCTCCTCTCAAATTTTCAACACACAATATCAAATGCAATTGCAGACTGATTTCAACATAAGAAAAAAAAGAATCAGAAAAAAGAATGAATCACAAACAGGAATGAATCTGATTGCTTATTTAGCTCCTGATATACACCTTCAAGAGTCTATTACGACTATGTGTCGCAATATACTACTCAACCTAATGTTTTAAAATGCTCATTCATGTGACCTATACCATCCAATGGGAAACAACTTAATTCTTCTAAGAACCCACATGACATACCCTATAGTAGGAACAACCCCAATCCTGTTAGCAGGCCTTATTATTAATATTATTATTAATGGTTGTAACACCTACGGAAATCTTAACTCGTAATATATTCAAATAGAATATTATAACCGTGTACAAAAGTTAACTATAGATGACCATTACGATTTAAAACATGAATTAAAAATACACATGATATAGACAAGAATAAAGGAAAATATATTTATACATAATATTCAGTATACTAGTCCAATATATAGACACTTTACTGAAATAATCACAAATTCAAAATAAGGTGTAATTTACAGCCACTTTCATGAAAAGTCACTGGTATACTGGTGTAATATGTAGTCACTTTCGTGAAAAAAATAGGTTGCCAGCGTTTACTTGTGCACATATAGCCATTTGACTGAAAAATCATAAATATCATTGTAAAATAAAATTCTAAAATTATAATTCTAACATACTTAATCTAGTGAAAGGCCTTATTGTTTACCTGTTTTAAATGGACAAACAAGCAGAAATTAGGAATCTACTGATTATAATGTGTTAAAGCGGGAAGTAGTATGCAGGGATTCTGAGTCGTTCCTACTGCTCAAAATTTTTCCTAAACTTCTTACAAGTAAGTTAATAATCACAAATTAAATTTTGTCCATAATGAAACCGACGTTTATGATGTATATTGACGGCACCATCTATTGCTTGCTCCTCCAAATACAAACTTTATGGTGTACGTCATTTTAAAATTCAAGAGAATAATTTAAAGGCCTAACAATATAGTAAAATATCTTTCCACAAAACAATAAAACCAAGCATTAATATCAGCGAACAGTCAGAGTGTATACTATCATACGAGATATGTTTTGTTTTTTTATTTAAAAAAATGGTGTTAGGGCCCTTCATCAATTATCTGCAATTTTAATCACCGAATTATTGCCGATAATGATTTTTTTAAAAAAACATTGCGCTAATGCACTCGAATCCAAAATTCTCGTCTCGACAATTTCATCTTTTTAGCCATCAATGACTATAACAACTGCAGATATAGCATTTATTTAGCTGTATAAAATTTCAATTTCCGCAAGATACCATCCCATAACCTATTACAAAATCCTTTATCTGCCCTTTATCGTAAAAAATGTACTAAAAACTCTAATTTCTAATTATCCACAAAAGACAAAGTAATTATTTCTACGGATGAAAGAACCACGTTTGATAAATTTAGAACAGTTAATGGTATCAGTTTTTTTCATAACGAAACGAAGAGTAAGTAATGTGGATACCAGAATAACTGGCAAATAATTTGGTTACGTCACACTTAATTGTGTTTTTCTAGGGCATATTTATACCTAGATATTTGAATAGTTTTACTGCTGGTATGCTGTATTTCCGATTACAAATTTTAATTTATTTTCAAAAAGAAGAAAAAGAAATAGTAAAATAAATAGGGGTAGTAGTAGTAGTAGTAATAGTAGTAGTAGTAGTAGTAAAAGCAGCAGCAGTAGTATCCCGGCGCACAAATATATTTTTACTTATGATGCAAACGTCATGCAACAAAATATGCAACAGGTAACTTTCATTATTATAATCTAAGTTCCTAAACTTACATTTACCTATCATGGTGTCAGTAGAATCTGTAATCCGAATGAATGGAATCGTAAAAAAAAATTACTATGTCTGGTGTTTCTCGAATGTATCCTTCCCAAATAACCATAAATATTATGACATTAATATTTTTTAAAAAATTTGAACCTTTCATCAATGTACATTTAATGCGTTCTTCAGCAGCCTTTCGTTCGTCATTAAAATAACAAACGTTTTATATTAATTTATACATGTTATCTAACAATTATTTGTTCTTCTGGTTGGCTGATTTCCCACAGTTCCACAATAAATTATTAAAATAAAAATTTCATAGAAATAATATGATTATGTTTGAATTAAACTGCATTTATGTTTAAAGCAATCAAAACAGAGATGTTTAACTGAATTCCTTTTCATAAAAATATTAGAATCACATTTCCCCAAACTTCCATTATTTGGACAATATTTACTCTGTACTGAGTGCATCTGAAAGTTCTTATCTTATACGAGTATTTATTTCTAGTCTTAAATACGTCTTTCTTTTCGTAGTTTATGGGTATATCTCCGTTGTCTTAAATGTGTATATCCTCCTTACCTTAAATGTATATATCTCCTTGTCTTAAATGTGTATATCCTTCTTACCTTAAATGTATATATCTCCTTGTCTTAAATGTGTATATCCTCCTTACCTTAAATGTATATATCTCCTTGTCTTAAATGTGTATATCTTATCTTAATTGGATATATCTCCTTGTCTTAAATGTGTATATCTTATCTTAATTATATCTTATCTTAATTGGATATATCTCCTTGTCTTAAACGTGTATATCTTCCTCATCTTATATGGGTATATTTTCCTTATCTTAAATGAGTATATATTCCTTGAGTTAAATGAGTATATTCTTTGTATTAAATTGGTATATATTCCTTGTTTTAAATGGGTGAATAATTTATAGGAGGTTGGGGATGTATAATTGATATGGGGTTGTGGCTGTATAATTGATATGGGTTTGTGGGTGTATAATTGATATGGGTTTTTGGCTGTATAATTGATATGGGTTTGTGGATGTATAATTGATATGGGTTTTTGGCTGTATAATTGATATGGGTTTGTGGATGTATAATTGATATGGGTTTGTGGATGTATAATTTATATGGGGTTGTGGGTGTATAATTGATATGGGGTTGTGGATGTATAATTGATATGGGGTTGTGGCTGTATAATTGATATGTGGTTGTGGCTGTATAATTGATATGGGTTTTTGGCTGTATAATTGATATGGGTTTGTGGATGTATAATTGATATGGGGTTGAAGATGTATAATTTATATGGGGTTATGAGTGTGTAATTGATATGGGGTTGTGGGTGTATAATTGATATGGGGTTGTGGGTGTATAATTGATATTGGGTTGTGGGTGTATAATCGATATGGGGTTGTGGGTGAGAAATGAAAAATCTGCATTGCAACATCAGCCTCGCTTTATTTGATTGAACTACCAATCGATGCACAAAAATGTCACTATTACATGTCAAGACTAGTTCATCAATTACTTTATTTAAACTAGGTCACCGACTCAATCAAAGCATCCTGTTCTCAGTGTACTTTAGATGAAATCCGATGTCAAGTTGAATTCCAAGGAAAAACTAAATATAAGCATTTTCATCGAACGAAAGACAAGTACTTGAAAATTTAATTCTAGCACACGTCCTCGTTCGTCTGATTAAGTGAGCTGACACTACATCAAATTTAAGGATCAATATTTAATAACACTGAAAGTGTAATCGATGTATTTACAGAGAATGTGGCACAGTGAAAATATACAATCAATCACAAATTCTCGTATAGTCAGTTATTACAACGATCAACTTTTCGGTAATAAGTAATACTTATACGTATTCGGTACACTGTACATATAGTATGTGCAATATCATATTTTTATATGACATGTTACATATCACTATATGTATTACTAATTGATCTAAACAAGGAGATTGAATTCTTGCGCAGCATTCTCTTTACATACTAACTTCGATCGTAGGAATAATTCATTACCTTCCTACTGAGCTTTTAGTTTTACTATTGCTACAAAAAAAATCGGTCTTTTTTCTAATCGACTGCCCAAAAGACTTGTGGAAAAAATAATCACATCTGTCTGAATACCAACCATAACCGCTCCGATGGTTTAGTGGTTAGAGCGCCCGCCTCAGATGTGGGAGGTCGTGGGTTCGATCCTTGGCGGAGTTATACCAAAGACTTACAAAAATAGCACTAACAGCTGTCTTGCTTGGCGCTCAACATTAAGTGGTTAGTAATATGACTGGTCAGCCTGGTGTCAGGATAATGTGACTGGGTGGAACATCATGCTGCATGTCTGCGGCATGATACCCCAGCGCTAGACATCACTAGAAACTGCCACACTGAAGACATCGAAGCGATATGACTGAAAAATTGTCAAAGCTACGTTACAAATCTAAATCACACACACACACACACACACACACACACACACACACACACACCATTTACCCCACATGGGCTCGTTTCGCTTTATTTAGTTTATCATGCACTGAAAACAGAGCGTTAAACCCCAAACAAGAAAACAAAAAACAAATGAAACTAAGGGAATTGGTCTATTGCTACAAGAGTGGTTTAAACTTTAACTTACTGGAACAAATAAACCCACTTGTTCACAGAAGAATGTGGACATAAATAGGTCTCGAAACTGAAAGAACGTTATCCAAACAGAGCATGTTTACG